AAAGTGATGATCTCCCACAGCAGTATTCCAAATGACCATCTGAATAGAAAAGGTGAAAATATTAAAGCGGGAGGGTCGTCACCTGCGCACGCGCGGGAATTGAGCGATGATAGCAACACACGCTAAAACGCAAATGCTTATGGGTAGACGCTTGTTTGTAAAAAAAAAAAAAAAAAAAAAAAAAAAAATAACACGCTATGGCCATCTGACGCATGCGTTGGTTACGACTCCCCGCTTTAAATGAACATTAAATATACTTTATATTATTACGCATAATACCAATAATAGGTCAATGAAAGGATCCCGATAACGAGAGATTATACTGCCCATGCGCTTGCACTTAGACGAGACACATGGCGGAACTGTGAGTTTCCAAAACTAAAATAAAAAACATCAGTTCTGAAACTTACACATCACTCTTCGTGGTGTACACACTGAAATTGAGAGACTCGATCGCCATCCATCGTACTGGAAGTCGACCCTGAAACATATGAAATAAGCAGGCACAGATGAGCTTATCCCGAGTTTAGCACAACAGATCGTAAGCGACTAACTAGCTAAGTGACAATACAGGCAGACACAATGCACATACCAACTTTGACATTGTGTTTGTGAAATTTGGATATGCATACTAAATTAAACGGTCATACCATGGCATGTTGAATAAATTGCTTAATAATGTTGTTAGTTTCGCCCCAAAATGTTTTTTTTGTACAAAAAACAAATCTCAAAAGATGCAAGTTACATCAAGTTGATCCCACCATTATACACGAGATCTACAAAACCGCTTTCTCAACTGATGCCATTTATTTCAGACAGTTTAGTGCCAGTAATATAATCATATACCTATTGGCCAATTCGCTACAACTTGATTTAACGAGAATACAAGAATATTAAATTAGTTAAAATAATACTCTAGCTAGAAGACATGTATTGCAGCAGTACCTACCGCAGTCATCTTGACATATACTTCATCGCTTCTGGAAAGTCCAAAATCAGCCACCTTAGCTACGAAGTTGTCATAAATAAGAATATTTCTGGCAGCTAAGTCGCGGTGTACGCACTAAAATATAACGGAAGATTGCATAAGTTGTGTAAAACAATGTGATTATTGGCTGCTGTGCATTCTTTATTTTGTTGGTGCAGAATTGAAACTCTCCTTTCATACTCCCTCATATTACCATGGCAACTACGCTGTTGAGTTATTCAATTGTGAATAGTAGAATGAACATGTTGATCATCATCTCAATTATTTCAATCTAAAAATTCTAATTAATAAAACCTGAATGAGAAAAGGTTATTGTGAACATTCCTTGATAATTGGCTTTGATAACGTAACTGTGTTGTAAACAACAGTGTTGCACCACGGGTAGATCCATGGTTCTATACTGTATGTTAATGAGCATGTGAGCTATTTAGCATAACTTAAAGTGTAACTGAATTGGGACAATTGACTTTTTTTGTGTGCAAAATTTATTTATAAAAACATTATGAAAAAAAATCAACTGAAAAATGTACATAAATTAAGTAAACGATCAATAATAATGTTCTGGATAAGGACACGCCCACGTTCAGTTTCTTGGTCGACTCAGAGCGAGGCTCCAACTAGAGTACCTAATTAGCATACAAGGGTACTTTGTGACGTCAC